TGCTGCTGCTGCTGCTGCTGCTGCTGCGGGAGTGCTGGGCACCCGGGGTGCCTGGGCTGCCTGCACCCTTCCCTGCCGGCATCCTGCCATGCCTGCACTCTGCCCTGCTGCCAGCTCACAGCTCCTACCCCACACGTGGCCTGGAGCTGGCACCTACCTGTGTCACGGAGTGGGGGGGGTCTATATCAGGCTAGGGAGGGGGCTGGCAGGCCCGGAGCAGGGTGAGAAGCACAAGGGTCTGAGTGGGAGATTGGGAGGCAGCACATGGCCGCTTGCAGCCCCCGCCGGCTGCCCATGTCCAGGACAACCTCCCACTGCTCACTAATGTGCCTGACCCAGCCTGCGCCACCCCCAGCGAGGCACGGGGACAGGGACAGGGACAGGGATGCTGCCTTTGTGCCGGGATGTAATGAGATTTCTGCTTGGCTGCCTGGATAGAAAATCCCAGACAGAGGATGTGAAAAGCCTTGCCAAGCCCAGGCAGCCTCCTGCCCTGGGCGTACAGGGGTGACCCCACCCCAGCACCCACAGTGTTCTCAGGGAGGCATCAGCACCAGCTCGGCCTTGGAGCACCCACTGCACTGCTTGGCATGGGGTGCCCACGTGCAGTCCAGTGGCTTCCAGTGGGGTCCGCTGACTCCCGTCCCAGCTCCACTCTGCCACTGGTACAGCCACCCCACGCCAGGGCTAGGGGTGCCAGGCACACCCTTGGGGACCCCAGGCTACGTGCCACCACCACCTGTCTGCCTGGGCACAGGTGTCTGCATCCCCATGCTGCCAGACCCTGATGCTCTCTGGTGAAGGTCCTGGTACTGCGGTATTGTGTCCACAGGACCCTTGTGTGCAGGGTGGCACCATGCTGCACCTTTGACTGCCTCATTTTCCCCCACAACAGCAGCAAATCCATCTCCTCAGAAAACAGGGAACAGCTCTGTGGGCACTGGGGGCTGTGAGGAGCAGGTTGGTGCCGGGATGGGCTTTGCTGCACGTCTTGATGGAACCCTTCCCACCCCCGGCACCGCGCGCCGCTAATCTACTCTTGCAAATGGCTAATTTTGAAAATCCTCTTATCAGAATTAGGTCCTCAACATCCATATTTATTTACTTTTCATTTTCATAATCTTTCCACTCCTTGTGTGGCTGGGGTTGTTCTCTCTGGCTCCATTTCTGAGCATCCCTGTGCAGGATGATACCCGGGATGTCCCACACCATGTCATGTAATCTCAGGCCAAGCTGTCCCATGCCATGCTGTGTTTGCCATGCTTTGCCCTTCATATGGTGCACGTGTTCCTCACACCTTTGGCTCTGCCAGTGACACCACCGGCGCTGGTGCCTGCTCCCCATCAGAAGACTCTCTTGCCCCGGGCCCCGCCCAGCCCCATCCCTGCCTGGCGCCGGGGGGCCGCCGCATCCTGCCCGCGGGTCCCTGCATTATGCATTGTTTATTCGTCAGCACCTTCCCTGTTTGTAACTCAATTAAGCAGCCGCGGTTTTGCTAATACAATGGTGTTTAATAGTCGGCTTCCTTAAATACCACAAATGGATAGGGAGGAAACGCACAGGCGATCCATTATACATGAGCTCAAATATCTACTTAAATATTTGATAGAAGTTTAGAAAATCTCAGGGCTGGCCTTGCCCGTGGCTGCTAGGGCTGGGTAGGAGGTCGGCATGGCTCAGGCAGGGGCTCTGCCAGGCCTCGTGGTGGTGGGACCTGCCTCATCTTGGCTGGCCCAGACAAAATTGGCACCTGGGACACATGGTGAGGAGTGAGCGCTGCCAGGGAGATGATGTCCCTAGAGAGGTGGCAGCTGAAGCCCACAGAGCCTGCTGATGCCCTCCCTCCAGCTCCGCCCCAATCCAGTCTCTTTCAGATGAAAGCCCTGGCACAATGGCTGTAGCACACGGCTGAGCCATGACCACAGCACACTGGAGAGGAGAATTAATTTTTAATTCCACCTTAATTACTCTGATTAATAATCCATTTACAGGACCCAATGGGGCCAGTGTTTCCGGCGTCCCCCCGGGGTTTGTGGGACACCCAGGTGCTGAGCACATGGCACTGGGGGCACTGGGCCAGCTGGGTACTGTGTTATTCTCCCCAAAGCCCCTGAGTCCTGAGGCTCCCTATATGCTGCAGCCTCTCACACCACCCTGGCAGGTGGTCGGGGGTCTCAGGTGCCCCCATGGGCATGAGCCGGGCAGACATGGACCCTTGGCAACAGGGCTCAGGGCTCTGGCAGATGTGGAGCAGGATCTGGCTCATCCATCCCCTCAGCTTCTCCTCAGCAAGAGGGAAAGCAAGCGGAATTGAAAGTGATCTCCCCAATCTGTATTAATTAGAGTCTATTAATTCGTCAGCGCGCCCTGCCACTTCCCCACTGACGACCCAGCCATGCTGGTCTGCAGCACAGGAGGGACACACAGAGTGACACCACACAGCTCTGGCACAGCACCTGCGTGGCACTGTGCATCACCAGCACACGGTGAGGGAACCGGGAGAAGTCAAGGCAGGACCGGGCACCACCAGCAGTCCCTGGTCAGGGAGGATGCAGTGGGTGCCCATGCAGTGGGAGTGTTGTTGCTGGCACCGGTGGCAGAGCACCAGGAGTGAGAGAGCAGTGCAAGGAGCAGACGGGGCTGCCACTGTATGGGGGGCCCCAAGCCCCCTCCCCACCATGCTGCCCCAGGGTGGCACCATGCTGGGCACCTTGCTCAGGTGCCATCTGTGCTGGGTACCCTTGCCTTGCCCTGCCCCGCTGCCAGCCTGGAGGATCCAGCCACTGTGAGAGCCCAGGCTGGGGGTCCCGGTGCTGCGGGGGAGCTCACCCTGGTTCCCATGGCAGCCCCCCCAGAGCTCATGTGCAGAGCGGTGACTTCAGCAGGAGCAGATGGAGCTGCAAGGAGTAAAAACATCCTGTTTCCATGCAAATGCCATCAGTAATAACGAGCCAGCCTGAAGGAGGGTGGTTATTGCTGTGCCAGGGCTCTGCCCACAGGGGCTGGGGTTCTCCTCTGCCACTGGCCCCCACCAGTGTCCATGCAGGACGTGGCACCACCTGGGGTAGGCGCATGGTGGGATGGGAGCAGGCACACACGGGTGTCACCCCACACTCACCTGTGTGCATGGCCAGTCCCCAACCGCATTGGCACGGGAGGTCCCTGGAGGGGTGTGATGATCAGAGATGGCTCTGGTCTTGTCCTGGGGCTGCGCTGATAGCGGGCTTGGCTCTGCCTGGCACTGCCAGCATTGCGCTGGGGTGGATGGAGGCCGTGGCACAGCTGGTGCCACCCGAGAGAACCGCGCTGGTTTCCCACTCGCTTCAGCTCTTGAAGGCATCAGAGCAGTTGTTAATTGTTCTTGATGCCGCTAATGAAATTATTGCTGCGTGACACTGGGAACCACTGCCTGGCCCCACAGCTGGGGACAGGGACTGCTCAACACTGCTGGCGTGGACTCTGGCTCCCAGAGGGTTTGGGGAGCACCTTGGGCACCCCAGTACAGCCTCATCCCACTTTGACCCTTGCCCCTTGTCCACACTATAATCTGCCCACTGGTGACAGCAGCACTGCTTGAGGGCACCTTGGTTGGGTTCGGGGAGGGCACGAGGAGGGAAGGGGATGTATCCTGCAGCCACATCCCCTGGGAGAGGCCAGCTTCGCTGAGCGTGGGGTACCTTGAGGCCAGACCCCCGCATATGGCAGTGAGGTGGGGCCCCACAGGTGACCCACGTTCCTGCCAAGATGGTGTCCTCGCTTCCATAGCATTTCCTAGCATGAGACGCACAGTCGCCCACCGGAGCTGTGGTGGTGCAGGGCAGGGTGTCTGCAGGACCCTCATCTTCTGGGATTGTCCTCCCACCCTCCACCCGTGGGTTGCCAGGCTGGGCTGGGGGGGACCCCTGGGCATTACCCGGTGTTGCAGCAGAAGTTTAGGGCAGAGTGGGTTGTGGAGATGCATCGGGTAGCGGGGGTGCGCTGCCGGGGGTGTCCCGGGGGG